GAATCCAGGGGTTATGACTTATATATACACATAAAAAGAATATTTCAGCTTTCCTTCAGGCTTGAAAAAGGCATTCACCTCTCATTTTCTGGACTTCTCCTTTTTCTTTGTTTTAGCCTTAACTTTGTTATTGTAGGCATTTCTTCTAGCAAACCAAGCTCTTCTGTATATTATTATTGTTACTCATTTCAATTTGAAGTTTTTGGTATGGGCCATATATGTCTTAATTTCACACAGGTTAACCTAAATTTAAGGAAACCCAGCATGTACATGTCATACATGATGATGATTCTAATAAAAGATTGCTATTTGATGTATTTAATAAGATGCCTTTAGGGCATTTAAAATATGATTTAACTCAGTTCGGAACTGTAAATGCTTTGCTAGGAACATACAGAACATTTGGGTGTTTTACATTAAGTATATAGTTATGAAAACACTTTTTAAAAGCCCAGTAACTCAGCATTATTGCTTACATATTTTCTATCTAGTTTGGGACTATCTGTTCTAGGATGGTATTCCCTGCATCCTAATGATGCTATGCTGCCATGACTATCTACCTCTCCAGTGGAAAGAATAGCTATGGGAGATTAGAGGCTCCATGAGAAATATTCTTTTTTATGGTTATGTTGCATAAGTAAGGTTGCTTTTTAAGATTTTTAAATAAAATGTTTTCCAAAAAAAATTGCTGTTTACAAAATAAATGAACAAATTAAATAAACAGATTCATAGACACAGAGATCAGACTGATGGTTACCAGAGGGGAAGGAGTTCAGGGGACTAGGTGAAAAAGATAAAGGGATTAAGAAAAACAAATTGGTAGTTACAAAATAGTCATGAGGATGTAAAGTGCTGCATAGGGAATATAGTCAATAATATTGTAATAACTATGTATGGTGCCAGGTGGGTACTTTAAATATTGGGGGACTATATTGTAAAGAATATGATTGCCTAACCACTATTCTATACATCCAAAATGAATACAAAATAATATTGGGTAGAAGAACCAAGATGGCAGCTTAAGAAAGCAACTGTACTCGCCACCTCTCACAACCACATCAAAATTACAACTAAAATACAGAACACCATCATTCAGAACCATCTGAAATCTGGCTGAATGGAAGTCTTACAACTAGAGAAGTAAAGAAGAAAGCACACTGATACTGGTAGGAGGGATGGAGGCACGGAATGGGCTGGACTGGCACCCATGTGTGCCGCTTTTGGATCGTGAGGGAGATTGTCTCTCCAGGGGCCGCCTGTGAGGAGCAAGGGGTCCCAGCCTCTCAGCCCAGGGTTCCAGAACTGGGAAGAGAAGTTGCCATTAACTACGGACTATAAAAACTAGTGGGGATTAGGGCTGAGTGACAAGGAGGCTGCTGGAGACCCAGCTGTTCCTTTTAAAGGACTGATGCACGAACTGAACTTAAAAGGTCCCATTTCCTCTGAGCTCCAGTGCCAGGATGAGGCTCTGGGGACCAAGACACATACGAGGAGGAACTGGATGTCTGGTATCAGGGCAGGAAATCGGGGCAGCTTTCTCCCAGATGGAGGTGTGTTGGGGGCCAGATGTAAGCTGGCAAGGTCCTTGCACCTGTAGGGGCTAGCAAGGCTGGGATCCTTACCCACACAGTTTTCCCAGACTTGTTTGGATGGCGTTTATCAGTAGAATAAGAGCAACATTTGTAGAATGAGAACAGCCTTTCATAGCTTACCAAGAAGTCTGTAACTATTTACTGAGATATGCTGTACTGAGAACTTGTCCTTCTGCTGTGTCCCTCCCTTAGAGATTAAGAGGAACAAAAAATACATTCCTCTTGATAGACCTCCTATTCAGTGTGTTATGTATAAATAGTATTGTGTGGCTAATAAAGTTGCTTCAGTTCATCAAGAGAACTGGGGTCCTCCCGACCCCGCTTTCCTGTCTTTCTTTCTTTTCTCAATTCCCACCTCCCTGCCTCAGCCCGGCTCAACCCTGTCAGGCTGGCCCTGACAGAGGTGCTCACAGGGGTCATTGTTCATGTGCTGGCACCTCCTCTGTGGCAGGACTGACTGGCAGCCATACTTGTTTGCTCTGCCTTGGTGATTCCCTGAGATCCCGCCTCATCCTATTTGCAGCCTCACTCACCCATTTGCAGTGGCTTTTGCATATGAATGGCTGTCCTTGCTGAGGCTTCAAACTTTCCTAAAATCTCTTAACAAGCTGCAGTTGGGTCAGCATGCCCCAAACCTAACAGTAAAAGGCCCAAGGCCCTGCACTAGCATGAGCCTGCCTTGCTTCATAACTGGGCCTTGCCTGGGCACCTCCAAGCCCAATCCAAATAACTCCTGCAAGGTGGCCCCATGCAGTGGCTGACTTTGCACCTCCCTGGAGGCCCTAGAGCCAGTGCACCTGATGGACAACTTCAGACCATAGCAGATTACAACTCTACACATCCATAAGTGACACACTCAAGGGGAAGACTCTGAGGACTGAAGCCCCACTGAAGCAAGTCCTGCTCCATAGGGATGTCTCCTGCACAGCATCTCTCCCACTGTAGCTACAGTTGGTGCTCACAGCCAATTGGCCTAGAGGTCAACTCCTCCCAGTGACACCAACAACAATCAAGGGTCAACAGCAAGACTGTATACACAGTCCACACAGGGACACACCTAGAGTGCCAGCTCAGGTGACTGGGGAGACTGAGCCACTGGGCCCTACAGGACACCTTCTACACAAGGCCACTCTACCAATTCCAGGAGACATAGCAGCTCTACGTAATACACAGAAACAAATACAAGCCAAAATGGGGAGACAAAGAACATATCAGAAATGAAAGAAATGGAAGCAAGCAAACTTTTGGATAGAGAGTTCAAAACCATGGTTATAAGGCTACTCAAGGATCTTCTTGAGACTTTCAAGGATCTTAGTGAGAAAGTTAAAGACATGAAAAAGGACCAGTCAGAAATTAAGCATACACTAACTGAAATAAATAATAATTTACAGGGAATCAACAGTAGAGTAGAGGATTCTGAGAATCAAATCAAGGGTTTGGAATACGAGGAAGCAAAAAACATCCAATTAGAAGAGCAAAAAGATAAAAGATTCCAAAAATATGAAGATAGTGTAAGGAGACTCTGGGACAACTTCAAGTGTACCAACATTCACATTATGAGAGAAGGAGGAGATGAGAGAGAGCAAGATATTGAAAACCTATTTGAAGAAATGGCAGAATGCTTCCCCTACCTGGTGAAAGAAATAGATGTAGAAGTCCAGAAAGCATAGAGTCCCAAACAAGAGGAATCCAAAGAAGCCCACACCAAGACACAGCATAATTAAAATGCTAAGGGTTAAAAACAAAGAGAATCTTAAAAGCACCAAGAGAAAAGCAGTTACCTACAAGGGGTTGCCCATATGACTCAGCTGATTTCTCAACAGAATGTTTGCAGGCCAGAAGGGAGTGGTAAGAAATATTCAAAGTGATGAATATCAGGGACCTACAATCAAGATTACCCAGCAAAGCTCTCATTTAGAACTGAGGGTCAGATAAAGAGCTTCACAGACAAGAAAAAGCTAAAGGAGTTCATCACCACCAAACCAGTATTACATAAAATGTTGAAGGGTATTCTTGGAGAAGGGGAAGGGAAAGGGATAAAAAATATGAACAATAAAATGGCAACAAATACATATCTATCAACAATTGAATCTAAAAATCAAAATAAACAATCTAATGAACATAATCAACTGATAAAATAGAATCAGAGGCATGGAAGCATGGAACAGACTGATTAATCTCAGAGGGAAGGGGTTGGGGGCGGGAAGAGATTAACCAAAGATCTTACCTGTGGACACAGACAGTAGGGTGGTGAAGGCTAGGGATGAGGTGGGAACCGAGTTGGGATGGGGTGGGAACCAGGTGGAGATGGGCAATGGGAAGGTAAGGGGGACATCTGTAATATTCTCAACAATAAAGATTTTTTAAAAAATAAAACAATTATATTGAATGTAAACTGTAATTGAAAATTTTAAAAAGTAAAGTATAAGCAAAATTCAAAAACAAATTGCTATTTAAATGAAAATATTTGAATTCCAAAGCTTAATAAAGAAGCTTGTGAAACCTGTTAAGCTAATTTATTACTGATGTCACATCACTTAATTGATTTTACAAACTGCTTTTTTATGAAGCAGTTTCTATGTTCCATAATGCCGTGTGCTGTAGTGATATTATTTGATTTGAGATTTTATAAAAGTATATTTTATTGCCATGTACTTTCTAATTTATAAAATTTCATCGTTTTTTGTTAAAAGTAACTCAGGGATTCTGCTATTGGTAGAAAGGTGGGGGTTTTTTCTTGCATGTGAAGAGGCATGGGATTTATTGTATTTTTATGATTTTTTAAAATTCTTTATTGTTTAAAGTATTACATATAATATTACATATGTCTTCTTTTTCCCACATTGACCTCTCCCCAGCCTCCCCAGCATATACTCTCACTCCCTTAGTGTCTGTGTTATGCTTATATGCATGCATACAAGTCTTTTGGTTGATCTCTTACTACACCCCCCCCTCCCCCCCCCATATTTATGATCCTATATAATAAAGACCTAATATGCTAATTAGACCGGATGGTGGAACGACTTTCCAGAATGATGGGGGCAGGGACACGAGGCAGCCGGGCCCACGAGGGGCGAGCCCCTTGCACGAATTTCGTGCATTGGCCCTCTAGTTTTATATAGAGACTCACCTCACAAAAAGTACTTGAAAATAATAATTTTGTAAGTTCCTTAATAGTTTATATTCTAGGGAATTTTTTAAAAGGAACATTGATAAATCATTTATAAGATAAGTTCCTCTTTGTTTTATTCACTTACATATTTTTTCTTTTTCTTTTTAATGTGTGGAAGATACCGGATGAAACTTAGATTAGTTGGCAGGAAAAGGGAAAAAAATTCCTGTGGTTAATAAACATAATGGTAGCTATTGAATACTTTAATGTTTCCCCCCTCTTATTGTTAAATACAGGGTATATTTACTTCTGGCACATGGGAAGAGAAATCAGATGAAATTTTCTTTGCTGACTTCAAATTCTCAGTTACTCATCATTATCTTGTACAAGAATCTACTGATAAAGAAGGAAAGGATGAAGTTTTAGAAGGTAGGCTTTTTTTAATACGTATTTTAAACCCTTGACTTGTAGGATTGATTGTCATTTTGAATACGAATTTAGTTCTCTTGATTATGTAGTATCCTCTGGATATGTTTACATATGCAAAGTTGTTTCACCAGTGCATCTGAAGTAGAAGTGATCTTTTCAGAGGAAGAATCACAGCATCATTTAAAAATTAATTAAATCAGCAAATATTTATTGAATACTTGCCATGTGCTAGTTACTCCGCTAAGTCCATTTGAACCCAAACTTAAATTTATGTTTCAGTAGGGGAGATAAGGTTTATAGTTAAGTAACAGTAGTAGCAGGTAGAAAGTGCCATCCCAAAGCACAGATGAAGTTCTCCTAGAGTTCAGGGGAGAAAAGATTGCTTTTAATTGGGAAAGATCAGAGAAGGTGTTATGGAGAATTAGGCAACTACTACCTGGCCCATGCCAGATATTCAGTAAATGTGCTTATAGTTATTTATAGGTCAGATCACCACCAAAATCTTTGTCCTGAGATATACTAGTATATAACTGTGAGTGAGCAAGGTATTAAAAATACATAAATTTTGGAGCTGTCAGTCATATACCCTTTATTCATTTAGAAAATAAATATGCAGGATGTGTGTTAAAAGTTTTTCTGGTCAGGTCCTAACCAGTTTGGCTCAGTGAGCAGAGTGTCGGCCTGCAGACTGAAAGGTCCCAGGTTTGATTCCAATCAAGGGCATGTACCTTGGTTGCGGGCACATCCCCAGTAGGAGGTGTGCAGGAGGCAGCTGATCGATGTTTCTCTCTCATTGATATTTCTAACTCTTTATTGCTCTCTCTTCCTCTCTGTAAAAAATCAATAAAATATATATTTTTTAAAAAGGTTTTTCTGGTCAGTTAAGGACATTTTGCTAAGAGAGAGAAAGACATTCCTCTTCCCCCAAATCTAAGTGCTAGCCCTAGATTTAAATCTTTAAGCAATTGCAAAACTACATGGACTAGCAAGACGTGTTTTATAATGTTTCTTTAATCATATTACAAAATTCTGTCTTAGAATGAACAGTTAACTTTTTCATTATCTAATGTTTTTGTAGATGTTCTTCCACAATCTATGCAAGATTTGCTGTGTATGAATAATGACTTTCCTCCAAGAGCACATTGCCTGGTAAGATGGTAGGTATACATTTTACTCGGATGAACTTTTAGGAAGTGTGTTGGGGAGGCCCCAAGACTGCCCAGGTTCAGTGGTTTGGTAGGAGGCCCCTCAGGACTCAGCATATAGCTGCCCTTACTGCTATGACTTATTAGAGTGACAGCATACAAAGCAAAATCAGCAAAAGGAAAAGGTGCTTGAGACGAAGTTTGTAGGCAGAACAAGTGCTTAAGAGTCCTTTCCTAGTGGAGTCACACAGTACATACTTAATTTCCTTAGCACCAAGTTGTGACAACATATGAAATGTTGCCTACCAAGGAAGCTTGTTAGAGGCTCTGCTCTCAGGTTTTTAATTGGGGGTGGCAACTTCTGACTGATAAATAACAAAATTTCAGGCTCCCAGAAGGAAGCAGGTGTTCAGTGTAAACTACATTGTTTGTACAAACATATTAGGCACAGTAACTCTTATCAGAGCAGAAGTGAGAAACCTCCCTAAATCCAAGTTCCCAGGTGCCAGCAAAGGTCGGCCTTGCAAGTAGATTATCCTAAGGATAGCAGTCACTGGCCTGCTGTTAACTCTTTTCTGCACAGTATGTATCATATCTAGGGTAGTATCTAACCTAATTCTGATGATTTGTATAGAACACTTAAATATCAGAAAAGTTAACACATATTGTTGGAAATGGAATTGAAAAAAAAATGTTGATCTCAGTTACATGATAACATCAAAGCTCTAAATTATAAATGTGATACATTAATAAAAAAGGCACATTACATTTAAAAGGGCTTTATCTTTTTTAGTAATTCAAAGTATGTCTGAACTTTATTTTGGAGGGAGTGGCATTAAAACACACCATCACCAAAGTGGTCCAAGTATGAGCCATAGTCAAGAAAGAAGACCTGGTAAAGGGAATTTATATACTGGTTTTAAATTATTCTGTTGGTGTGTGTAATTTTTTTATTAAAGAATTTCTAAGAAAGGGGAAAATGATAACATCTGTGTTTGTTTCTTTTTTGTTCATTCCATTGTGATTACTATAGCAAGCAGACTATGTAGCACACTAAAAAAAATAAAAGAATTATTTGCAAGTGCAAATAAACTGGATATTGTTTCATAAATACTGTTATTTTAGTATGATATTTTAAAAACTTCGAACTTAAACAATTTAAACAACTATAAAAGGAATTTAATAAATTACCCATTTAATCAGAATCCCCTGATCTTTAAATCGGTAATTTAAATGTGAATATATACATTAACATGGCAAAATATATTTGAAGGCAGCGTGATATTATAGAGCAGGGGTGGGGAACCTTCTCTCCGCCAAGGCCATTGGATATTTATAACATCATTCGCTTAATATAAATTTATGTTGCTATGAAAAAGCACCTAGATTTATTGAATTTCGAATCCCGCTTGCAGTTGCCTTGGAAGGGCCAGACCAAATGATTTTGTGGGCCTTACACGGCCCTCAGGCCAGACGGTCCCCACCCCTGTTATAGAGCAGGACTTTCATTAGACATTAACTGAACGCCTACTGTTTGGCCAGACACTAATTATACAAACTTACGTTTAATTCCTAGTTTAAGTATTTATTATGTTGGCAATTTTAGGCAAGTTACTTAATTTCTCTATGTTAGTTTCTACGTTGGTAAAGTCAGCATAATAAATAGATGCATCTTAAGGGTGTTTGTGAGGATTTAATAATGTAATGACATATAGTGTGTTTATCAGAATCTCAATGCCATTGTGTAATTTCTGTTAAGCTTTTTAAAAAAATGTTTTTATTGATTTCACAGAGGAAGGGAGAGGGAGAAAGAGATAGAAGCATCAATAATGATAGAGAATCATTGATCAGCTGCCTCCTGCAAGCCCCCTCCTAGGGATGGAGCTTGCAACCCAGGCATGTGCCCTGACCAGAATCAAACCGTGGATTTATGTCTGGATTCTCTTGGTTTCTGTAGTTTTATAATAAGTAGTTAATTAGCTACTGTGCCTCCTCCAACTTTACTCTTCCTTTTCAGTGTCATTTTGGCTCCCTCACTTTTCCATTTACATTTTAGAATTTGTTTGGCTATATGTACAAAAAGTCCTGGTGGAATTGTTTTGAATTTCTAGATAAGTTTGGGGAAAATTGAATCATTACTATGCTGAGTCTTTCATTTTATGAACTTGGTTATGGTTGGTCTCTCCAAATTTTTAGATTTTATTTTATTTCTTTCATCACTGTCTTACAGTTTTCAGCATACAGATCCTGGATATGTTTAGTTAGGTTTATACCTAATTATTGCTTTATTCTTTTTAAGGAGCTATTGTAATGCTATTATTTTAAAAATTCATCTAGTTTTTGCTAGTATGTAGAAATAGGACTGATTTTTGTGCATTGACCTTATATCCAATGACATTACTAAATTGCTATTCTATGAATATTGTAATGTCTTTAGGGTTTTCCATCTAAACAATCATGCTGTCTTTGAATAGGATTAGTTTTATTTATTTTTTAATAGTCTCTATGTCTTTTTTTTTTTTTTTACCCCTTCCCTTTTTAAGCTGGCTAGGACTTTCAGTAAAATACTGAATACGAGTGGTGAGGATGGATGTCTTTGCCGTGTTCTGATTTCAAAGAGAAAATTTTGTTTTTTACCATTAAGTACGATGTTAGCTGTAAGCTTTTCATAGAGGTTTTTTCATAGATGCTCTTTATCAGGTTGAGAAAATTTCCTTCTATTCCTAATTTGCTGAGAATTCTAATGAATGGATGTTGAATTTTGTCAAATGTTTTTTCTGCTTAAATTGATATGATCATTTGTTCCTTCTTTAGATTTTTTTTATCCTCAGCTGAGTATTTGTTTATTGATTTGGGAGGGAGGGAGGGAGGAAGGGGGGGGAGAGAGAGAGAGAGAGAGAGAGAGAGATCGATCAGTTGGTTGCTTCCCATTTGAGCCCTACTGGGGATCGAACCCGAAACCTTTTGGTGTATGGGACAATGCTCCAACCAACCAAGCCACCTGGCCAGGGCTCTTCTTTAGATTTTTAATATGGTAGCTTTGTATTCCCACTATAAACCCCACTTTTTGTATAGTGTGTGTGTGTGTGTGTGTGTGTGTGTGTGTGTGTGTGTTTATTTTTTGCTGGATTTAATATGCTGTATTTTTATTGAGGACTGCCTGTGTTCACGATGAATATTGGTCTGTGGTTTCCTTATAGTTTGGTTTTGGTATCAGTATTGCTGGCTTTATAATGTGAGTTGGGAAGTATTCTATTCTACCTAATTTCTGGAAGCGAGTGTGTCAAATTGACGTTATCTTTAAATGTTTGGTAGAATTTATCACTGAAACTATTTGGCTTTGGAGTTCCCATTTTATTGAGGTGTTGGTCCCTTCTAGGATCCAGGCTTTAAGAAAACTCTCAGTTCTAGTTCCTTGTTTCATCTACACCCATATCCCAGAGGGACCACTCAAAATGTAACAACCTCTGTACTGATTTGGATTGATGGAAAGTCCATGCACAGACAATTCTTCAGTAAACTATAAAGCAGAAGGAAGCTGGCATGTTTAGGTTACTTTGTAGAGAGATGAGTAACATCATTGAAAACATACAGTTTACTATTTCCTCCTAAGCACGGGCATAGTTGTGGATGATAATATCCAAGTGATATTATGCTTCTGGAAGCATAGTTTCCAGGCCTCGCCTTACTTATATTTGTTATTGGGGTATTCTTGGACATACCGTAGTCTGAATACATGCCACAGACCACCTCCCTGGGATAGTATACTTTATCAATCTCAGAGTTATATAGTTCATGTTATTGCTGCTAGGCTAAAATATATGATATTCTCAGACATAAATAGACTTTTCTTCTATCATTCTCAGTCTCTTGAGTCCAGCAGCTTTCAACCTTTTTATCTCATGGCACACATAAACTAATTATTAAAACTCCGCAGCACACCATAACAGAATTTTTGCTGATCTAACAAAAAATAGGAATAATTTTGATTCATTCACACCAGACAGCTATTGTTGTGTTGGCTAGTATCACTTTTTATTTTTAATTTGACAATCTGAGGGAAAAGAGGTCAGTGCCCCCAACTAAATAGTTAGGTATTGCATGTTTTAAAAATTCAGTCTATCAAAGCATCAGTTTTGTAAACATCTCTGTGAGTCATACTGATAGCCTTTTAGCATCTAAAAAGCTTGTCATGTAACATCCAAATCCCCAGTTCCTAGTCCTGAGGACCCATATCCCAAAACCCTGGGTTTTCTCAGAGTCACCTGAGTGCTTGCTTCTGGCTTTCAGTTTCCTCTTTGTGTCTGTCCCCCAGTAATCTCCTCTTTATTCCTTCACTTTTAGCTACGTATTTTTAAAGCATTGTCATATTTAATCAGGCAGTTTGGTGTGTTTCAAGGAGGGGGTCTGTGTCATGTCAGAATGCCATATTGCTTCCCTTTTTAAAATTTGATCTTTTAAAGATTGGAAGGCCAACAACCAAACTTTTGAGAATTATTTGAAAATTAGGCATATTAAAAGTAATATGTTTTCTTTTATTAGGCAAACATTATTTTTAGACATTTACTATAAGCCAGATACTGGGATACCACGGAAAAAATATGATCCCTGTCTCCGTGAGCTTTGGAATTATTAGTAAGGGGACAGCAAAGGGAACAAATGGCAACACTGTTGACAGATGCCTTCAGACAGGCAGCTCGGGCTTGATGCAGGCTCACAGGAGGTGCCGCCTTTTCAGACAGATTAAGTCTGGAAAGAGGGTTGAGAATGGCAAAAGATGAGAAGGGATCTGTGTAATTTGGGCCTAATGTGAACAGAATCTTAGGAAGATTTCATGATATTCTAATGCTTCTATTTTATATAGAATTTTTATTTTTTTAAATATATTTCATTGATTTTTTTACAGAGAGGAAGGGAGAGGGATAGAGAGTTAGAAACATTGATGAGAGAGAAGCATTGATCAGCTACCTCCTGCACACCCCTACTGGGGATGTGCCTACAACCAAGGTACA